GATGAGAATAAAAAAAAATATCAGTTAGGAGATTATTAGTCGATCCAATACCAAATTCTCCAAATTGATATTATAAGAATTGTGTGGCAGACAGTTAAGAGAATTACTAATGAGATCTTGGGAGTTAAAGGGTTTACACCTCAACATCAGCATGTATATTCTTTACCTTTTCCTCTGTATATATTTCTTCTGATACTGACACGGAGAATTCGTTTAAAACTCAAAAGCTTATTTTTTTAAAAAGATCGTTTCCTATTTTTTCATTCATGACCTTCATGTTTGATTCAGCAGGAATAAAGCAAATTTCACTTGCGTGTCCAAACTTATCTGATAATTTGCTTTAATCAGAAGTCAAACAAAAACCAGTCAGCTTGGCTTGGTCACCCGCGTTTTCCCGCGCTTTTGGTAGACCGCTTGTTTTTACTATCAGTCCTCATTGGCTAACGATGACGCGAACCTTTGTAATGATTGGCTGTTGTGATTACTCTGGTTTTGGTTTTAGGGTAGTCAATAGTCCAATTTATAGTTGCGAGAGTGGTTGCCAAGCCTCTTAATAGGAGTGAGGCTACGTTTGACCTAGTTATAATACAAATGTTGCCGCTTTTCGAAAGTAAATTACTTTGTTATCATGCTCACTAGATAAACTGGTCTCTATCACGACAAGGTCAGCTTCAGCCTCACTCCAAATTAAAGGCTTGGTAACTAACTATACAACTGTAAAATGGCCCATTGAAAAACTACTTTAGTGTAAGGAAAATTAGATAGTAGTCACTCGTAAGCTTAAGGGTTAAAAAAAGAGAGATGTTCAGGCACCGCCAATATCATTACGTTATCAGGTGACGACTTTACCATTGACGTGAAGTGCGACAGAGACCAAATCAAAGTCATGTTACACATCAAATCTCACCTCAATTACGATCCAGAAACCGTCCACCTCAACGACGCATCTTGCAAACCTTCCTTCCAAAACAGCAGCCACATATTTATCAAATCAACGCTCGAAGGATGTGGAATGATATGGAATGTCTCGCAAGACGGTAAAATGCTTATTTATCGCAACGCTATAACAGCCCTTGTGAAGGGCCGAGGCTCCTTGGGTTTGCATGCGTCACGTGACTACCTGGCCGTGTTTGAATTCCAATGTCGTTACCAGAAGACAGCGTTGTTATCCGTAATCTCATTCAGTCCGTCGGAAATATTGGTGATCAGTGACATACGTAAGTATTAGAAAGACTAAGTAGAGATATTAAAGAATTCAAGCTATCACGATTGCATCGTCTGGCCAAATTTCCATCGAAAATTTACTTCCATCGCCTATGAGGATATCGCGAGTGTTCAATGGGGTTTTGCACAACTCTGATGGTGTTCAACCACCCCCTCTCTCCCCTCTCTTTCTCTTATCTCTGTCTTCCACATTCCCATGACCCCGTCAGAGTGAGCAGAGTTGATTTCCAAATGGAATGTCAAAAATTGGCCATCGCGGTTTCCTCTCTCAGCGACCTCGCGTTGTGTCTTTGCTTGTGACCGAAGGAAATGCACACTTGAAGTTATAAAACAAACGTGCGGGGCCACTTTTCTGCGCAATAAATCTTTCATTTTCCCTCCTTCTCTATCATCGTCCAGAATTCCAAATCGTCATTTTTCAATTCAGTGTCAAACGTAATCCAGAATTACTTTTTAACTCGCTCTGATTGGCCTGGAAAACTTGCGCTATCTTCTCAACCAATCTGATGCCAGAGTCTAAACCAACGACGTTTGCCACGCCTTCCACTGTCTACTTGTAATTCGCTTTGAGTTTTCATTTCCCCATGGAATGCTAGTACATTGCATAACCATGATAATAATAAACCATGAGACTCAATCGAAACACCCTCTAAATTTACAGTAGTATAGCTGCTTCAGAAAGAAAAGATTCATTACTATTCCGAGTTTCGTTCCATCTCACAGAGTCGTTTGGAAATTTCACGTTCGAGATGAACCTATTCAAAACCGGAGATTTCCGTGAGCATTACACAGAATACCCTGTTGGACCAGTAGACGTAGGAACAGACATTTTTCTTCAGGTGGCAGTGAAATCAAATGATACTGGAGTTATTGTGTTTGTGGATGAGTGCAAGGCGACAGCCACACCTAATTATGATGATGAGATGCAGTTCGTTTTCTTAGAGGATGGGTAAGTTAAAAAGAAAAATTTCGAAAGACGTCGCCATTAAAGCGTAAATATGAACTTTCAGTTGATCACTCCTCTTCTTTCATCTCCCAGCGAACAAGTACGAGCGACAAGAAATGAAATTCCTTGACTCAAACATTTTTTTTCTTGGCGTTGCTGTTTTTTGTGTGCTCGTCACTAACCGCTTACTGAGTTGTTTTCAAAATGGAGTTGTTCATATAATCCATATAGATATTGTAGAATGTAACCTTGTTACCTGGGTTTTTCTCTTGAAATTGGGAGAAGCTCTGGGAGAGAGAATGTATATCTGAAGACACTTTTCAACGTTAGAATCTCAACCGAAGTATTTAGCTAATTTTTAAAGAAACTTTTTAGAACAGGGGGAATGCTACTCCTCAAAGTGGATTATGCAGCCCTGAATGGTAAATGTACCCGAGCACCACTTTAATGAGCGACGGACCAGTTAAGGGAGTAGCTAGATATAAACAACGGTGATTTGAACCACTTCGGTTCGTGTATTGACGGAACTTTCATCACATTACAGGTGTCCCAAGGACAACAATCTTCGCTATAACTACACCTTGTCATCTGTTCAGCGTTTCATCATGGGCGCGTTTCACTTCCGCCCCGTAAAGTCAGAAGAAATCTTCCTCCATTGTTTAGTGTTGGCCTGTCTTCATTCTGATGAGTCTTCGCGCTGCGCGAAAGGATGTCCATTCGAAAAGAGGAAAAGGCGAGTCACGGAAGAAAAAGTTGAACAACATCTGGCTGTGGGACCCATAATTGTTTCTTCCTCCCAACCAAAAGAGCCTTCAGGTAGAGCTGATTGCTTTGATTAAGAGCAGAACCTGATGAAATTTCTGCTCCATATTCGCAATACAATTTAACCTCTTAGGAATTTATTTTTCGATAAATGGCAATTTTATCGTTTGTCTCACGATATAGAGTGAAGCTATCAGTTGTACTGATTACGCCGTTATGACTTCTATAGTGCAGTTTTCGTCAGGCGACGAAGTCCATGGTTCACGTGTCATTAATCATAACATCTTGGTTTGCTGTTATTGGTGTGTTTGTTTGTTCGTTCATCGATTCATGCATTTGACAGCTGATTTTCTTACCAACCTGTCCGTTGGTTCATTCGTTCATTCTCTCATTTATTCATTCAGGCAGTCATTCAATCATTTATCCTTGCATTTACGCATTCATTGACGCATGCATGCACTGTTCATTCATCGTTCATCTACTCATTGATTTATTCTTTTCTTGAAATTCATGTACACATCTACTAATTCATTCATTCAACGCTTCCTTCGTACGCGAATTCATTTCTCTAATCATGTATCAACTTTGATTTTCTAAATTTGGTTGTTTTGGCTGTGGTGATGAGACCGTTGCCAAAAGTTGACGAACGAATTGGCTTTCCCAAGGCTTTTTCACTTGTTCCCCCAAGAGAAACTTACAAGATGCTTTCTTTCAATAGTTTGATTAAGTGACGTGTTCATTCAGCGAGTTCAGCATTAGTTCATGACTCACTTGTCTTGGATTACCTTGCAGTGTCATCCTCACCTAAAGACGACACCACCGCCATAGCCGTAGTGGCAGGAGTTCTCGGCTTCGCCGCCTTTTTTCTTGTGGTAGCCGTGATAATTATTCTTTGCAAGCCCCACAGGACACCCAACGTGACTGGAGCGACCATTACTCTACTAGTACGAAGCAATGATCCAGGACCGAGCTGAAATGGAATCCAATGAATTTATAATTTTCTCGGATTCGGTCCTCGATCCTCCCGTGAAGTTCCTTCCGGGAAGTACCGGTGCATTTTTCGAAAAGTGGCTGATAATCAAGACTAAATTTAGAACACTGCAGTAAAACGTTGGGCATGCGCAAAGGATCAATTTTTGGCCGCACACGCGCCAATTTCCCGCGCAAAATTTCTAAGGAAAACAATACGCCCAAAACATTGACAAATAATCAAAACAATTGAACTTTCATGGACTCAAAGAGAGAAAAATAGAACTCATAAATTTTTTAACAAGTGCGTTATTGATTTAGCGTTTTGTTTTAAGCTTTATCGAAGAAAATTACCAATTCTCTTGTACGGTCTTAAACACTGCTTCTTACTGGCTCGTGTTGTTGCTTATAACTCGCGTAAATTTTGTGCTTATCGTGATTTTTACGGACTGAAAGAAAGCCACTTAGCTATTATAACGTTCATACATGCATAGACGAACCAATTTGTTATGATTTGGTTTCTAAATTTCTAATTCCAACTTTTGCCCAGTTTTTTAGGTATCGTAACGAGAGAGACTTTATAGTGTGTTTTGTGGACTGCATTGGAGAAGAAATGTTTCGTAAGCGTTTTTCATAGGCACTTGACACCTTACTGTATGTAAATAGGACAAAAAACCAACATTTTGGGGGTTTTCGTAATGGTCAAATTTCAAAATAGGTAGAAGTTATATGGGGCATGATTTCTAATAACAAAAAATATGTTAAGAAATCAAAGAAATATATCAATAGTATTTATTATAAAATTCTCCGTCCATCAAGCTGCTTTGTGTCCGCACAAGAATTGCGAGTGCTCATCACTCATTGTTTCATTGGGCAACAAATAAACGCGTAAACAAATTTGACCTTATTTTGATTATTTTTTCTAGTAAATTGCAATTACAACGAAACCGGGAAGGATAGAACCAGAATTTCTTACAGATGCTTCAATCTAGGTGTAACTGTCTCTTCTTACCGTTGAGAAAGTAATTTCGATTTTTTGTCACCTTGTACGGTGTCTATGGTATTTACCAACAGCCTTGCGACGTATTATAACTATGTGGATCAATTAAAAAATGCCACTCAAATCATGATTCACCATAGCTATGGTATTTTGCCGTCGTTTTGTTTGAGGGCTGTTATAATGAAGGAGTTTGAAGGGGTTTGGGTTCGTCGTTGAGTGATGCTCTACGACCTCCAGGTGAAACACCAGACGTCGAACTTAAGCTCCTTCAAAACCACCCATAATAACAATTCGAAGCACTGAGGATAACAAGACACCTTAGGTGAGGAGATTGAGTCTTCCAAGACGTTATTTCATAAATATTATTTTGGATGAGTGGATAAGCAGTATGGTAAATCCCGAATATTCACTGCAAAATGTACTGAGTAGGGAGACAAATTATAGCGGAGCTCGCAGAACAAAGCCCCATACCATTTTAATCTGGTAGTAACTGAACGATCGAAATCCTCAATACATAGATGAACAGTAACGGTAATATTTTGACTTAATCATTTGCCCTCCAAATCAAATTTTCATGGGCTTTTTTTCTTTGCGATTCGGCGACGGTTTTGGTTAAAACTTACTTCTCAAAGAGAGAAAACCTAATATTTTGTAGGACTTGAAACAGTGGAGAACTTTATAATCTTTTAGTACTTTTTCATATTAATAATATCAATTTTAGTCTGGAAGATTTCTCATCGGATCAGCTCGCCTTTAAGTTTCGTTTATAAAGAAAATTGCTATCAGTATTTACTACGAGTGTTGGTTAATAAGAGAAGTCCACTGAATTCCTCCCTAGCTCTTTGACAGCAATGCTCATGGGGACATTTGACGTCTTTAAAAAAACAGGAAAATTTATAGTTGGGAAAACATTTATTAACTACATATCATTTGTAATCTCTTGCTATATAATCAATCAAAAATTTAAAGTTTTTGAACGTTCCAATGGTAAGATAAACATCGGGTTTTTTTTTAAATTCAGTAAAAGTTAATTCTGCTGAGATATTTTGATGGTGAAAGTTGTCAAACTTTATTGTTCCTTTAGAAGAAAAAGATGAGACAAAGCAAATGAAGATCTGCTAAAAAAGTCACTTGAATATCATTTTCCTTTTACCATGCAATATCAGGGTATTTCGGTCCTTGCACAATATTTAAAATATTGACACGAAAATCCCAATTAACACGTCAACTGGTTGTGGTTTATTCACACTGGAACATATTTTTGTCCACCGAAGTATTTTTTTCCCGTTAAAGCTAGGGACGAGATTCTCGATAACTTTTTCAATACAAAACGTTAGGAATATCAAATAATCACATTAGAAACGACCTTTATTGAAAGCAAAGCATATTTGCGACGCGAGAAGTAAGAACAAAGATGCTTCCAGAAACAAACACATTAATACAACACTTTTACAGATAACGCTTTCTAGAGGAAAAGTGCGAAACCACAAGAAAAAGGTGGAAGGATAACATAGAAAATCTCTTTTTAAATTACTTCACACATACCAAATAGCCTAAATATTTTAAAACTCTCCAATACAATAGACCAATTTTTTTTCTTTCTGCGTCGTGTAGCTACAACTCTCTTTACAGCTGTTTGAACCGTTTCGTCGACAGAAGTATATCTTCTATGTGAATTACTCTTATGGCGAACAAACGTGCGCTTCAGTTGATTAGGCGCATTTGGTTTAGGTTGATTCAAGAGTTAAAGAAAAAAAGTTGAGTATTCACTATTCAAAAACAACAATAATTGACATTCTTAATTTTCTTAAGCATAGGCAAGTTTGTAATCCAAGAGGAGTCGTGTAAAGGAACTTTATCGCTATCACTAACTTAGAGCGAATTTTGTTATTCAAGTTGTATTCCTGTTCCTCTGTTACCTCGGTCAGGATGGACGAGGCACCAGAATCAGGACAATTTATTGGCAGTGAGGCCGATTTCAATTCGGAGCTGCCCAATGACGAAGACTGGGACACAGACTTGGAAGATTCATGCCCAGAGAAAATCAGCAATATTTCTCAAGAGCAGATATACTTAGCAGCTTGTAAAAAGCTGGGAGTACCTCCAGCATCAAACTTCATTAAACAAATGGGAAGTACTAAAGTTGACCTTCGACATTATGGTCTCCTAGATCAGGGGTTGCTCGCAGTCTGCCATGCTCTAAACCGAAACATAACAGTGACCACGTTAAATCTTCATGACAACGGAATAACCAAAACAGGTGCTCAAGGCCTTGCATCTCTTCTTGAGGAGAACTGCTTTCTAACTGACCTTGACATTTCTGGAAATGATATCGGTGTCGAAGGTAGCCAAGCTATGGAGCGTATGCTTAAGAACACTTCTTCACTTAGACAGCTACACGTTTCAAACATTTGCAGAAATGGTGGCCATATTCTTCCTCTCCTAGAGGGACTCAAAGAAAATTATTACTTGAAAGTTCTTGACTTGAGCCATAATTGCCTAAACGATGAAGGAGCTGCTACTTTAGGCTCAATATTGTGCGAGACAAGTTCACTAGAATTTCTTAATGTGCGATGGAATAACATAACCGCCCAAGGGGCAGCGGATCTCATAAATGGCCTTCGAGATTGTTACACTTTGAAGGAGCTCGACTTTTCTTGGAATAGCTTGTCTGGGGTAGGAGCACAAGCCTTGAGAGTTGCACTCGAGGCAAATGAGTCACTGCTGCATCTGGATGTTACCAACACGTCAATTCGGCTGCCTGAGGCAAAGATCATCGCGAAGGGCTTGAAAAGAAACAAGACTCTCCAGGTGCTGTACATTGGAAATAATCCGTACTTGAGTAAGGGTGTGCATGCGCTCTTAAAGGCAATTCGCCGAAATCACGAGAGTGCCCTCGAAGAGCTTCATCTACAGGGGATGGCTCTTGACAGAGATTGTCATAAAGAGCTGGAAGTTGTGATCCAAAAGAGGCCCAACTTTAACTGCACCTGGCAAATAAGTATCCAGGGAGGTCAAGCTAGGGACCTTATGAGCCCAGAAAAAGCCTCGCCATTGGATGTATTTGTGCGCTTCGCCCGCAACAGTGGACTGCGAATGATGGACATGTTCAAAGAGCTTTCTGGTAAGCGCGACACGATTGTGGAAGAGGATTTTATCGCAGGCCTGAAGAAAATGAACATTAGCATGACAAAGGCTGATTTAAAGACTGTGTTTTCCATTCTGGATGTCAATAGAGACGGAAAGTTACAGTTCCATGAATTTCCCAACCTTGTCGCCCTAAAGCTGCATGAACAGACTCTCGAACGAACAAAACTGCATATTTAAGAAGGACAAGATATAAATCAAATGCTTTCATTAAGAGTTACAATCGAGCCAGAAGCACTCAATAACCAAAATTTCTTAGGTATAAGTCTCCGCTCATTTCATTTGTCGTTAATTCACACCACTGTACTTTGAATCAAGTAAGCACAACCCAAAGATTTGGAGGCTAATACAAATTACAGCCACCAAACGCATGAAATCGTAAAAATATTGCTTAGGATAAACTCTTGCTTTCCGAATAAAGACATGGGATTACTTTTCTTTCCGTCTCAGAATAAGGCAGTTAAACACAAATTATTCCCTCCTTAATTTGAAAAATTGCAATCTGCTCCAGAGATGTTTCAGGAAAATTGGGAGAACATGATGCAATATCATTAGATCATTTTGTTTTAGATGACAGTTTTTTTCTCCTTCCACGGGTAATATTATGCACGATGTCACCTTAGTTGTTCGTTTGCTGGAAAATGGTATAACCATTACAATGTGCTTATTCTTTGTTTCGTTTTAAAAACACAATATTTCTCTTGACTCTCCCATGAATCTAAGGGGGAAAACAACACTTCTACCAGATTTCTTCTCAAATGTCTTATCTTTGTGGTTGTTTTAAGTGTTAAAAGTAAAACTGAAAGAGAAGACACTTTTCACGTCGCGAGATCAATAACAATTAGAGACAAGCATAAATATATTTGCTTTTTAATAAAACGGGTAAATGCATAATTACATCGGCATTCAAAATTGTATCTTCTTCTAATGAGCGCATTCAGGGGTCTACAGAAGATGCAACTGATACTCACAATTCTCTGTCATTGAACATGAATTTGGTGCGACATACCTCAAATGCGGTTTACATGGGAGTAAAACTGAGAAGATATAGCTACTGAAACCTTTTAGCATTAGTGGAATATAGAACTTTAAATTCAATATCAAACAATGCTATTTAACAAAGTAAGACAAATCTTATTAGATGGGCAGCTCGAAATTGACCCTCATTTTCACGCTACGGGCAAGTTCAACAATATTGGA